GTGTGTGGCACGGATGGGTGAATACCACTTGCTTTGATTGAGGCAGGAAGAGAATTCTCATTTGTGCACGCGGGCACGCTCGTTTTGTGAATAGCTGGCCTCTGTGTACCAAGCACAACATACAGTGAGACGTTCCCCATTTAGGCAGCCCAAAGCTGGCGCTACCCAGTTGGCATCTCTACCCTTGTACCAAAAGCCAGGCGCTCAAGTTTAGGAAGGGAGGGCTTTGTGGAGCCTCCTTGGTTCTGGCTCGGCTCTCGGGCCTAGGATGGGCTCAGATATGGAGGTGGGTACATATCTCAGGTTAACCATGCCGGCGCTCTCTGCCTCCGTGGACTGGCATCTTCTAATAGCGTTGTCTCCTTGCAGAGCTTCCGCTGACCCTGACGCCTGCAGCTGAAGCACAGGTAGGTGGCTCAATGCCCTGTGGAAAGCGCCGCTCTCTTCTTACAGGCCTCTGCGCTAACCGGATAAATCTGGTAACCACCCCAACATTCTGTTCAAAAGCTATTCCTTGAGCCTTCCTCTGCCGGTAAGCGTAGGAGTCCTGTCACTTTCGCTAGCAAAGCACTGGCCATTACGGAAAACTTCAGCCTGTACAGAACAGATGACCCATTTGGCCACCTCTCCCAGAAGCCATTGGGGTCTGCCCCGCCTGGCGCCTCCCCTGGCCTCAGCGTAGCTGCTTGGCAGTTGCCGCTGTCCCCACCCACCCGTCCTCTGAGGGCACCACACTTGGCGGGTCCTCCCTGACGCTGATCTTTGGGAAGTGATTTTTATGTTTGCTCTGGGCGCGTCTGGATGAGAGGGAAGCAGCCCTGTGGATATTAACCAAGTTGTGTCTTTCCCTGTTCTGCTAACCCCGCCCTCCCTGGCAGATGGTGCAGTCTCTGGGCTTCGTCATCTACCGAGCCCTCGACTGGGGCCTGGAGGAGAACGAGGAGCGCGAGCTGACCCCCGAACTGGAGCGGCTCATCGACCTGATGACCAACAGTGACTCTGAGGACAGTGGCAATGGCAGCGCCGCAGACGAAGGCTACAGCGGGCAGGAGGAAGAGGAGGAGGCGGTGGCCAAGGGGACCCTGAATGCCGTCCGCACTTTCGGCCAGGTGACGCAGCTCTGCGCTACCCGCCTCTCCCAGCCCCAGGAGGCTCACGTTCACTACCAGGCGGTGTGCCGAGCGCTGTTCCTCGAGACGGTGGAGCTGAAGGCTTTTCTGGCCAAGATCCGGGATGCCAAGGAAGTGAGTGACGCCTTGCCTGGCTGTGGGCCGTCTGCAGCTGGGATTCTTGACATGTTGCCCTGGATGGGCGTTTGGTGTCTGCCTGGGGGTACAACTTTCCCGAGGCTTTGATTTGCAGCAGAATCCAGGCTCCCTGAGCCTCCTGCTCACGGCTGCCTTCCCAGTCCATCTGGGGGCACCAGGCTGGGAAGACAACCCTTGGGGAAGGTGGGGAGGACGGTCCAACCCTGCATCTCCTGGCATCTGCCAACAAGGTACCTTATTCCCCTGGGAAGCGAGAGCCTCAGCAACTCCAGAGCAGCTGGCCTGCTGCTAAGGAGGCTCCTTGGTGCTCCTCAGAGCTGCTTGGCTGGGCCTGTGTGCCAGGCTGCTGAACTGCAAGCTCAGCTTCTGGTGATAACTGCAAATTGTATTTATTTTATTTAGCAGCATTTCTAAGCCATCCTGGTCCCATAGGACTCTGGGTGGAGTAGAAATCTCTCAGCAGCAAGGAATAGGAGGGAAATAACCAAGAGGGCTAAAATGACCCACAGTGAGATCTGCTGGGCCAAGGGTTTGTTGGAATAATACTGATTTTAATTGTGTACACAAGAGTAGGGCTGGGAGGCTGCCCGTGCATCTCAAGGAAGGGCATTTCAGAAAGAGGAGCTGCCACAGAGAAGGCCTGTCATCTGCTCCATCTCCTCCTCCTCCTCGCTGGGGAGAATTCTCAATAGCCCCCACCCCCCAGAACCAGACCAGATGGGCAGATTCAGTCCTATTAAACCTTAGCCTGATCTATCCCGGCGCTCTTTGGCCCGCGTCGTCTGCTGCAAGCGCCAAGGAGATGGGAAGTTCTTGGTCTGCCTGCCTGAGTTGGCTGCTGCTCGGCTGAGCCATGGCCGTGGGGCGCCTGGACTACGCAGGCGCTGCCGGGACTCTGCCTCTCCTGGGGCAGCTGAGCAGGCAACGTGCCACATCCTGGTGGGCCACCAGCCCCGTTGTTCCTGCCCTCCCATCTGGAACAAAGCTGGGGACGGTCTCTGCTGCCTCCCTGGAGTTCTCGTCTCTAGAACTGTGCACCCAGCCAGGGTCCCTTCTCTGCACAGCTCATGCTACTAAGAGCCAGGAGGGGGGAGAGGGCAGACACCGCCACGTTCCTTTGGCAGGGTCTGTCTCTGTGGAACAGGTGAGGCGCAGGGATGCTCTGCTCTTCCCACTCCGAAGGATGGACCTGAAAAGATGGAGATACCTCCTGGGATGGAGGTAGGCAGGGCCGCTGCCTGGGGCCTGCCGAATGCATGAATCTCGGTGGGCTTGTGCTGTGTGCCTCTTGGGAAGAACCTTGAGCAGCTAATGAGCACTACTAATTAGGGACTCTCCAGCCCAGCGCTCATCAGGGAACGGCACTGTTTTCCCATGGAAAAGAGTTCATGGAATAGTGATTTCCACCACCCTGCTGAAATACTAGCTCGGGGAATAAATTCTATTCTAAAGTCTCATAGCGGAAGTGAGAAAGGCAGGGTGATAGAGGAAGTTATAAAAATTACAGATGGGAGTATCGCACGTGTGCCCTAAGCTTCTGGGAAGGCTAGATAAAAATCCCTTTCCCTCTGCAAGAGGGCCTTGAAGAAGGTCCACAAGAGCGTAAGCCAAACATGTCCTGGTGACACCTTGAACGCCTAAGTTGTCTGGCTTCCCCAGACTGATGCTTGAACTAGAAGACTAGCAGGCAGAGATTCAAGGATGCAGCTGTTTTTATTACAGTTACTAGAAACGCTGTTAGTGCAAAGAAAACCAGCAACTGCAAACTGTAAAACTCAAGCCAGGCACGTGGGAAAGACAAGGATCAAGCTTTCCGCCCTTTTCCCCCACCTGCACACCCTAAGGGCTGAGAGCCCCCCGCTTTGGGGAAGAGCGGCTGACAGCTGTGGGTTGTTCTTGAGAAGAGCTGTTCTGCGCCTTTGCTTCTGCTCTTGGTCCTGGCAGCCCTTGCGCATACTGTGACAACTACCAGTCAGAATCCTCTCTCTCACTTGGAGAATTTCTGCCCCCATATCCCCCCACCAATGCTAAAGCTGGCTCTTGTTCCCAGTTCCGTACTTGCACAAAGGAGCCAGCAAAATAAGGACTTAATCACCCAGCAGCCCAAATTAAGCTCTGGGTAGTCCCCCTGTCATTAGGGGACTGCCTCTTCAGTTTAACTAATCCCAGTCAAAACTATAACTTTTATGCAGCAATTAATACAAGCTCACCTGTGGTGGACAATGGAAACAGGAAAAGCTAATCTGTTTCTGGGTCTTGGGATGTGCAGATGCTGACCAAGCTGAAGGACGAAGAGCTGAGGGACCGATCGGCAGCAGATCTTGATAACCTGAGGAACACGGACTGGGTATGGAGCAGGGCTGGAAAAAGGAGAGGAGAGCCATGGTGGCCTTTTATAAGGCACCCTGGAATCTCTCTGGGCGGGGTTGGGATATAAATATTCTAAGCAGAGAACTACTTCCTCTCAAGAAAGAAGAACGGAGGGAAGAGCTCGATCCTCTTCCATTGTTCCTCTAGTTTTGCACCTGATATGAGCTTTTAAGCTCAACAACACTGTTGTTTTTTTAAACACACATCTGCAAACATAGGTTCTCCCCACACACTAATTTCCAGAAAGAGCTGGCATAGGTAGAATAATGCCACATCATGGCTATGGTTTGGCCTTGAGAAAGGACTCACACGCTGTGGGAGAGAGGGTCCGTTTAGTCCCACTGGGTGAGTGCTGCTTGACTTGGAGAAAGCTTGGAAGAAGGATCTCAGAGCGAGAGCTTGCAGAGATGCGTCCCCAGCATCTCTTCTGGCTCAAGCACCGTTTGGGGAAGAACTCTCTCATGGTGGCTTTGTGCTTACAGGCTCGGCTCTGGGTCCAGCTCATGCGAGAACTCCGGAATGGTGTGAAGCTCAAGAAGGTCCAACAGAAACAATTTGACCCACTGCCTACAGAATACCAGCTGACGCCGTTTGAGATGCTAATGCAGGACATCCGAGCCCGCAACTATAAGCTCCGCAAGGTCATGGTGAGAGGAACAGGAACCTCCTCCTACCCCTCTTGTGCTACCAGACGGGCCCCAGGGCAGCTCTGCAGCTCTCTGGTGCCTTCCTGTTCATATGGATCTGCACTCACAGGCCTGGGCCCTAGAGCTGAGCGCGAGGTATCCCCTTATCTCGTTTAAGATGGGGCGTTAGCAACTCTTCCCCCTGAAACTCATAGAAGCCATTCCCAAAGGCAGAGAAGATGGACAGGATTTTGGAAGGAACCAGAAATAAAAATCTGCCCCAGGAAACTAAGGGCTCCTGGAGAACAGGAGAGCTGCTGCTAATTCTTCCTTATGGGTATCCATCAGGTAGACGGTGACATTCCACCCAGGGTGAAGAAGGATGCTCACGAACTCATTTTGGATTTCATAAGATCCCGTCCACCTCTGAGACAGGTCAGCAAAGTTCCTGTATTCTGTACTGGGGAGGGAAGGGACTGAAAGGGTCTTTGGGCAAAAAACCTCCCCGCATTTTCAGAGCTATGGAATATACCTTTCACTTTTAGAAACGAGGTCCTTCCTCTTTAGCCAGACTTTGGGGATTGTGCTAATGATCATCTTAGTTACTTTTACCACTTCTATCATTTATTGGAGATGGCTGTTTGCCTTCATTGCCAAATAGGAGATTATTTTTTGAAACCAGCCGCTGGGCTGCTTTGTGAATTGGACGGGCAGAGCTGGACTGTTTGGAATCTCTAGGTCAACAACTGGCCAGTGCTCCTTGCTTGGAAGGGCAGGGCCTTTGAGCCTGTTCGCTGCTCTGCCTCCCAAGAACTGGACGTTAATGAATGGCACAGTCCAGTGTAGCATGCTAGCTTGCGTTGGTGGGAACTGTGATTTGGTAACATCTGGAACACCACACACGGGCACCTATTTTTGTGGCATCAAGATGCATTTCCAGGAAGAGTAATAGCCCTTTGGAACGTGGCTCTCTGGCTTCCCAACCCCATTGCAGGCTTCTGAGCGCAGATTGCGCCCCATGCCTCAGCAGCAGAGGACGCTCCATGAGAAGATCTTGGAGGAGATCAAGCAGGAACGGAAGCTTCGGCCTGTGGAGTCACAACACCAGAACCAGAGAGGTGTGTCTGTCCTTAAAAAAGGGGGGAATCCTGGAAGCTAGAGAGGACCAGTTTGCTTTCTCCTAAGAGGAGACAGTAAAGGCAGGAAAGAAATTGCTGGGTCTTAGGGGAAACTCCCAAATCACAGTGTAGTTCTCCAGACATCTCAAGATGCTCCAAAACGGAGAATGCAGCTGTGACTTCTTTCATATAATCAGCCAAAATTGAGACTCTGGCAGTTGGGAACTTGGAGTGACTTGGAGCTCTTTTCAAGGGAGGACCTTTTGTGCCCAAACAGTCAAGGTGCCTTTCTGTCCCATCCTTAAGCC